TTGTTCTTTGTCATCTACTTGTCTTTAGTGCTCAGAGCTTTATCCGTTGGTTTTTCAACGTAGTTTTGTCCGTCGATCGTTTATCAGTTTTCCTGTTTGTACAGCAGTGTTGCTGTTGTCTGAAAGAACTACAATAGGGCCACACATTACACATCGTGAATGTTACAATAAAGTTTTGCTGGGATAGTAACTCGAAAATATTTCTACTGAATGGAATATCAAAATAGTAGTCCACATATAATCATTCTTTGCCAATAGATCTATAAGACTACTAAAGTGCAGTACTGGTTATGGACGGTCTACTTTTTATATTTAGATTAAGTAATTTATCTTTAAATTAAACATTAGAAAATATTTTCCTCGGCAATAACAGACAGCTAAATAAAACCGTTTACATAATATTCTATTGCATATATAGAACCTTATAATTGTTCAAAAAATATTGTGTTCTTTTTAAATAGGCCTAAGCAATTAATTTTTTTCTGATTTCACCATACTGTATATCTTTATAAAGTAGAAAGCTATTATACGTTTGTGTTTCACAATTTCAAGGTATGTTTTACCCGCAAAACATATTTTCGATATTTTAAAATATTCTTGATAGCGCCATCTCTTAACGGAGAATGCGTGCTGTTATATGTTTTAGTTATTTATTGACCAAAATATCGATTATATACCATTAAAATATTACTGGTGATAGTACATATTTTAATTGGGCACTTTAGTAGATGCGTATTCGACTTAACTAGTGTTTTTATTTGCACATTTCAGAACTGAGTATTGTTTCTCGATGTAATAATAGCCCTAATAATTATAGTTCAAAGAGAAAAAGGCAACTAAAATAAGGAATCATTGTTGCATTAACTATTATATCAGCAATGCTTTCTAAAAATTACGACCGGATACGTTTTTGTATGTAACAGTAAACCACTCAGCAGGTAGATAAAGCCAATGACGAACATTGTTACTTTGTAGGACAAGAAAAGAACTATAGGCAACATCTCGTAAAATTCTATGACCAATTATCAAAAGTTACTGAAATAACATTACTTGGTACATCCCATATAATTATATAAAAGATTTTACTTTCTGTAATCTAATACATTTTTTATGAAGTGATATAAAATTCTAAATAAAATATCTGCATCCAGTGCAGAAAGGTGATACGATCATTTGCTAAACAAATCTTGCTGCTCTAGCAACCCTGTTTAGTGACGCAAAAATGTTTCGAACGCAAACAACTTTCATTCCTATGACTTTTTTCCAATATTATAGTCGTAAATAGTTAGTCTTCTTCAGAAATCACTTATCAACTCTTCTGTAGCACAGTTGATGTATCTATTGTATTATTATAAATCATCAAGTAATCCCATTGTTTAGTTTAACTTCTCTTGCACATTGACTATTTAGAGCTCTTCTCTCTTCAAATAGACATTTTCGAAGTGTAATAAAACTTAACAACTGACCAATCAGAATTAGGAATACGCATTTGTGTCCTGCAAACGAACATGTTGTCATGTTTGCATGCAGATTTAAGTTTCCTGAGACCTTATCAACATAGAAGAAAGGTCCATTAACGCAATTAAACATTCCAATTATTAAACCGAGATGGCAAGATTTTGTTGCCGTTGACGTCGGAGTTGAGCCTCCTTTGCCTGTCGGAGTAATCTTCTATGGGATGCTCCCTCTGAGACCCAGTCTGGAGCAATGACAAAGTGACCTCTTGCCCGACCCCCAGTCACAAAGAAATGACTGTTTTCGTTATGATAAGCCTCTGGAGTCATGATTCTAGGTTGATGACGTGGAGGCTGTGTTGCCTTTAGATCAACTTTTGTAGAATACTGTAGTCTCTCTGTCGGTGGTGCACGTCTAAGAAATATAACAAAATACAAAATAAATGATAATTCGTTTTCTGTTACAAAGTGTTGAGCCACCTACTGCCGGTAAAATTGTTGTGTGATTACCATTATTGGACAAAGAAATTGTGTACCCATCTTATTGATTACAGTATTTGGAATTGTCGATTCTCTATATACAAGGGTTAGAACACTTTCAATTTTTCAGGTTGTGAAAAGAAGTACTGTGTATTTTGAACCCAAAACGGTTCAACTGAACGAGGTCTAGGGACACGGGATGCAATTTCCATTTCAGTTGTCTGCTATTGCCAAATATCATCATCCCTATCATCCATTCGAGATACTTACCCTTCAATCTGTTTTTCGATTTTCTTCATCCATGTCTTCAACGACTTTGTATCAACACCTGTAGTGTCCAATGGTGGTGATTTCAGGTTTGGTGAGGACGGTGCCCGATGCAACGATGTATCTTTCGGCAGTGTAACTCGTCTAGTGTTACTGGCACTGTTCGATCTTGGTCGTATGTTATTGTTAACCTTAGCAGCCATGTCTGGACCTTTGCCGCCATGAAGGGTATGTAATAAGTTATATGCGACTTCTTTTTCTGTGACAATATATTAAAAATACAACAATTAGGCCATTTATCAAACCATTGTCTGGTTGTGTATGTTTAACGTGTCAGTCACTAAAAGCATCATAACTTGGTTCGATAGTCCATCACAAGTAGGTCATACTCTAAAATACGAGTTCATTTGTATCATTTCTCAGTAGGCCTGCTGTTCTCTGAAGCTTTTGATTCTTTCCTACATTTTTCCATCTATTGCTCCAATTTTCAATACCGTACTGCACTTGAGCTGATTCATCTAAAGTTTTTTTTTTGTTTTTGTTTGTTTGTTTGTTTGTTTAATTATCAACATTCTAGACAAACAGCTTGCAAGTGCGTTCATTTAGCAACAGGTTAATCAACTTCAAACGCAATGGCATTATATTTCTAGACAGTCCTATTTTGAAGATTAGGTGCCACTTTTACACAATACTAGACCAACTTTTTTCTGGGGTACTTTTTGGCATAGAATTTGAGTTTGGTTGTCGATCTGGTCGGGGAGTTTTTTCGAGATATAAATTGTCAAAATCCAATTCGACACAATTAAGGAACGGGTCAGAAATGTATTTAAGTCTACCAACATAAGTTTTAACGTAATTTTAGGCCATAAATTTCAAAAAAAAAAATGACAGTCAGTAGATTTGTTGCTTAAAGGATGGATTAAAGATAGGACTTAAGACATACAGGGTTAAAGGCTTATCTACAAAAGTAACATTTCTAGCATATTGTTTGGCGTAGAATCCGAATCTGGTCTGGTCTGGTTGATTGCATGGGAGGGGATTTTTGAGATATGTAGGGTCAAAGGTCGGCATAATGATAGGGGTTGCAAATGAGGGGGTTCCAAATACAATGTTTTACTTACCATAGTCAGTGGCCCCAGTCATCCAGGTTTTAATGCGCGGATGCTCGATCATGTTATTAGCAATGAAAGCCCCAGCTGTCTTCGGTCTCTGTTGAAGAAAATATAACAGTGTTTACTTAGCCGGTAGTACGCAAAATTTGTCTCCAAAGCACTTTTGTGATGATTACTGAGGACGCAATCCAACCCATAACATTAAACATAGGCCTATAGAAATTAGGTTTTGGCAGTAAAATATACATAATAATAATAATAATAATAATAATAATAATAATAATAATAATAATAATAATAATATAATAATAATAATAATAATGCATTTATAATGCGCCATCTATCTAGGTAAACCTATTCCGAGGCGCCTATTCTGAAGATAATAACCAAATTATGCTGATTTTCAATGACTTTAAATAACAAACATCAATGCTGTTCTATGGCGTTCGGACGATACGATACGTGAACTGAAATATTAAATACAATATCTATTATTGCTTACATTTTAAATTTAGGAAATTGGTTACTTATAATATTAATAAAGTTCAACTTGATATAGCGCAAAATGCTGGGCGCCTTTAAGCGCTTAACAGTCAACAAAAAATTGAGAAGATTATAGATTGAAGATCGAAAATTTATTAGTTACCATTTGAAAATTAGTAAAAAAAAATAATGTTGAAAATGAATACACAAAATATTTGTATTATTTCCGAATTCGCATACCGTAAAACCAATTGAAGCCCAATAGACTTGATCACGAAAAGAAGCCCATCTCGAATAATTAACAACTGACTGAAAAAGGTGGCTATGCCCCCTTTTCCCTAAGTTTTGAAATATTCAAAAATCTGTATCTCATTAACTGCTTCCGAGTTTTTCGTCAATGCTTTTGTGTCTTAGGAAAATCAGTTGTATAAAATATTTTAAAAAAAAATTCCTTCGGAGCCTGGCTTTAACTATTACGGTTTACTTGACCTCTCAAAAAATGCGCCTATTTCACAAAAATTAATCAACAAGGATACATGGATAAAATATAGGCCTATATGAAATACAAAAAAAAGCCAAGCCAAGCAGTGTGCACAATATGGCGTGTGACTGACAATATCAACAAACGAGGTAAAGAAAGACAATGGCCAACTAATGAATGATTGAAATTCAAATCAAGACGGACACACAAATAAGTTAACGCAACGTTCAACGCACTGTGTTGACGCAATGTGTAGGTTGCTCCTAAAACTTACCGCGGGTGGTGATTCACACCGTGAACTATAATAATTTTCTCCGTAAACGCTGTCGTCATCATCGTGGTAATGCACTCGATAAATCTGGGGGCTTTCCTGAGATTTGTGCAAAATAAAACCAGACTACTGCAAATTATTATTTTTTTAAGCTGCATGCATTGGGCTGCTAGAAGAAAATGTTTCAGGCTGTTAATCCACATTTTAGAATAGGACTAGGCCCTATATTATTGCCAGAGGTTTATGGAAAATCAGATTGGTGCATGCTGAAACGTTTTCAGCAAAATTGGTAAGCCACCATATAGGGCCCCCACTGCAGTCACCAAGGGTTACTGCCTCACTTACACTGTTTTTAGTCAACATGATGAATAAAAAGTATAGCCGCGTCAGTCTGTACAGTATAGAACAATATAAAGTAAATAACAGCAGCACTTTTGAGACTAACAATATATGATTCATTCTCCAGCTTTCATCCACACAGTGGACTTCATCAATCTCCTGATGAAGTCCACTGTGTGGACGAAAGCTAGAGAATAAATCATATATTGTTAGTCTCAAAAGTGCTGCTGTTATTTACTTTATACTGTTCTATACTGTTTTTAGTGTCTCTCGAAATCAATTATATGTAACAGATTCGATAGGCCTATAATGTTTAGTACAGTACTACTAGCACCAGAGTGATGGCTCCAAAAATTTTGCCAAGATCCTAGTCAGGGTCCCAGAATGAAATCCCTGACGGGGTTAATGGAGAGATTTATACTTTTATTTAGACCACAATATTATTATGGATTGGCAATCACAATAATTTATATTTGAATTGGAAAATTAATATTTTAGTCCGACGACCTCGTCCTGGTGACGGTATGGCTCATGCTTCAACGGAAAATTCCGCATGACCACATGTCTTCGCTGGCGCCAAAACTTGTTAACCCATCCTACCGAATGCACACATTTCGATTACCATACTACGTGTATTGCGAAGGAAACATTCACAGGGAGGGAAAGCCTGAAAGGAAGTGTAAATGTGGGGGGGGGGGCGTGGGTGAATAAAAGAAATGCAATATGATTTTCAAGCATAAACCTTATTAAAAGGTCGCAGTGTCACAGCAATAACTAAAATTTTGCAAAAAAAAGAAATAAATAAATCATACAGATTATTATTAAAAAACTTACCCTCGGTGGTGGACATGACTTCGACCTTGAGTGACGTAACATCGCTGATGATACTCGTGGTTGTCGGCGGTCGGTGTCGGCAGCCATTGCCTTATCGCGATGTCCAGGAGGTGGTGTTGGGGGCGTATGGACACGTTTTACGCGCGAAGCTTCAGCTGGCTTGTGCACCCATTTGATTGGTTTATCTCGAATGCCAGCTTCAGGGGGTGTTTCTGTCCTCCAGTTGACCCAGTGCTCCCGATAATATGTGGGTGTGATTGGTCGCTTGACAACACGTGTGCGTATTGCAGGTGACCCAGGTCCAGGAGAACAGGTCTTGAATCTGGTAGCACTTTTGTTAGGTACAGGCTCGGTGTAATATGCGGACTCTCCTAGACTTGTTCCTAATTAAAAAAAAAAAAATTAATAAAAATAGATGTAAATTTAGCACTGCTTTAAATTAAAATCATGATCATATCATCATCATATTTTTAATAATAATAATATATTATTACTAATCTGTTATTACCATTTCAATCTTTCACCAGCAAAGCAAAAAAGTATAAATATATGATTTTACAAAAAATAAAAGGAAAAGCAAACGTGTAAGCTCTTATCACGTGCTTATCACATTGTCCTACTAACAAAATAAACGAAAAAAGACAATTTCAAACTTAAATGAAAATTCCTTAAAACATTTCAACATTATCCATTGAAATTTTTTTTTTAATGAGTAAATGTATAATGTGTCTTTTCCTCTTTATTTTTCTTCTTTTTTGTTAGTTTACTCTGGTTTCTTTCTCCTTGTTTTTATTAACCTGATGTATTAAATTTGGATTTACTTGATTTTGTTTTTCATTGGACGCACCATTACGTACAAATGCCACTGTTGTAAAAGAGTCGCTTTCAAATGAAGAATATATATACTTGCAATAAAGCATTCAAATTGTAAGATTCAAAGATTATTTACTTAAACAATTAGACCAAAATGTTAAAAAAAATTTAGTAAAATATTTGTATAGTATAGCCTATACGAATTGTTATGAACTAAAGTATTACTTTCTCTCTCCATTCGCTGCAAGTTGTCCCGAACCTCAGATTCTATCATGGTTTGAGTTGTTGGTCTCATTTCGGTCACTGTTTTCGATCGCACCATACCAGTACCTGTTAATAAGAAGTAAAATAATTTAAATAATTGCAGTCTACTATCTGATTTCAGTCACCAAGACTCAGTAGTTTGAGAGACATTGCCTAACCTAGAAACCCTGAACAAGAGAGAGAGAGAGAGAGAGAGAGAGCGAGAGAGAGATGGAAACATATTTGTTCTAGAAATAGCACAAACATCAGAGGAAGGTCAAGCGACTCACTGGCGGAACGGCGGTAAATAGTAAAGTACCATGGACGACGTATAAAATTGTATATCGTACCTCCAGCAGGTAGTCTCGACAGAGCTAAAAAAAAACCACTCAAAATTCTACAACCAATTAACTGTAGAAGCATTATTTTTGCTTTAAGAGACTCTAATTGTCAAGTAAAGAGATAGTTAGTAACAGCTCATTCTATGGTAAATATGTATGCAACAAAACGCATTGAACATCGTGAAGAGTTTAGAGCACAGTATAGGAACGAACATCTGACTGAGTTTAACTTTACAAGCCAAAATGCTCAGTATTTTGTTGGACGTAAACGTTGCAACCGGGATCACTTCTGCAACAGTCATGTTAGAACAAAAAACGAGCTAAACTTTTTTTCAGTAATACTGATAACCATATCTTGAAATTTAAAGCCTGGTAGCCTAGATAATGGAATCCTTTACCGTGTGGTGGTGCTGTTGGCATTGTGTGGAATGTTGCATGCGGTATCTTCGGTGCTACGTTTCTCTTTTCTTCCTTTAATTTTTCAAGGTAGTTGTTAACTGCTTCCTTAACCCTAGCCCTGTCCATTTGTTCGTTGACCGCCTGCTGTACTTGGTCTTCAAGGCGAGCCTTGGCATCCTCTTCTTTTAAGTGTTTAGGTTCCAAAAAATCCTGATAAATAAAAGGAAAAATCCATAAGGTTTATTTTTCTTAATGTGCATACACCTTTGGCAAAACAGACTTCTTCACATCCTGTGTTAAAGATAAGATGAGCAAATTGAATATAACAAAATAAAACAAATAATACCAGCCATATTATAAGAAGGCCTATCCTCTAGGGATTATTATCCTATGGTATGAGTTTACAGAATATCATCGCTATCCCCTTCTTAAATCGATTGATATACCTTAGCCTATCAAAGTCCTAGATCCAACAATGAATCCATGGCTCTCGTTCAACGTCGGAAATTCTCATCCCCTGCCACCCTGTCTGACAAGTGTCACCACAGGTGTATATATATATACTGTCTCTTATACACATCTACAATGGCCAACTAATGAATGATTGAAATTCAAATCAAGACGGACACACAAATAAGTTAACGCAACGTTCAACGCACTGTGTTGACGCAATGTGTAGGTTGCTCCTAAAACTTACCGCGGGTGGTGATTCACACCGTGAACTATAATAATTTTCTCCGTAAACGCTGTCGTCATCATCGTGGTAATGCACTCGATAAATCTGGGGGCTTTCCTGAGATTTGTGCAAAATAAAACCAGACTACTGCAAATTATTATTTTTTTAAGCTGCATGCATTGGGCTGCTAGAAGAAAATGTTTCAGGCTGTTAATCCACATTTTAGAATAGGACTAGGCCCTATATTATTGCCAGAGGTTTATGGAAAATCAGATTGGTGCATGCTGAAACGTTTTCAGCAAAATTGGTAAGCCACCATATAGGGCCCCCACTGCAGTCACCAAGGGTTACTGCCTCACTTACACTGTTTTTAGTCAACATGATGAATAAAAAGTATAGCCGCGTCAGTCTGTACAGTATAGAACAATATAAAGTAAATAACAGCAGCACTTTTGAGACTAACAATATATGATTCATTCTCCAGCTTTCATCCACACAGTGGACTTCATCAATCTCCTGATGAAGTCCACTGTGTGGACGAAAGCTAGAGAATAAATCATATATTGTTAGTCTCAAAAGTGCTGCTGTTATTTACTTTATACTGTTCTATACTGTACAGACTAACGCGGCTATACTTTTTATTTATCAGTAAGGTAAGCCAAAACCGCCTTCCAACAAACCAAAAGAACTCGTTAGAAAATCAACGACAATTTCTTTGTCTGCAGAAATTATAAAAGTTGTGCAGAATCCTTAATAAAGCTTAAAAAGGTCATTTTTGTAACAACAGCATGTTTTCAATTGGCACTGTTTTATCGACATGCTAATGTTCTGCTTCCAGTGTCCGAGGCACCTGCAAGTCACTAGACAGTGATCTAGTTCACTTTGTGGCAATCCTGTCCCGCCAATTGAGTGTTGTTTTTTCCTCTCCCTGTTAAGTATTTTCTCCATGCTTGGACGGGACCAAATAAATGAAATGAAGTATGAAAACTGCCTCATCTCCAAGACAAGCATGTTGTTGCAATATTGCTTCATCTCACAAAATGTCATAGGATTGTATCCATTTCGAACTTGATTCAAACAAAACGTCTAAATGTTATTGTTGGTTAGTCTTTGTTTTTTCTAGAATCAACAACATTCCAAAACATGGTTTTAACGTCTGAAGAATCTATTAATTGGATCTAAAAATATAGTAGTTGTTGTCAGATTTGGTTTTTTATCTCTCTTTAAGATGAGCTGAAAAGTTACATACAAAACAATAAAAAAAAAACATTATTGCTCAGAAACTGACTACTGTATTGAATTGTATTTAAACTGTTTATAGGACTGCGTCTTCTAACATTTTATGCACCAGTTTAGTATACATATATATACTATATATATACTATATATAATATATATACGTATATATAATACATATATATAATATATATAAATATATTATATACATATATTATATATGTATATACAGTATCTAATCATATCATGGTAGAATAAATATAAACACACATAGACCTTTATATATACATTGATGCTCATGTAAGCATATATGTATATACATTTATCAATGCGATAAGGATAAATTCATGTCAGAGTTTTGTGTAACCCAATGAATAACAATACATTTGATTCGGTCCTAATCGTCAATAGATTAGGCTTCACAATAGAGTCTGTTTGTTGTGTGACAAGCGAAAAAATGGCCTACTCTTTATGGTCGTAGTTACTCTACAAGCATACGTAGGCCTACTAGGTGAAAATGTTGAAAACCTGACTGAAAAACCAGAAACCAGAACGTGATAAACACCAAAAACATGATGGCAGAAAACCACCAGTCTGTCTATAAAGGAAAAAACAGACCTGTCTATATAGTAACATCTAAGAGCTGAGGATTTGGAGCGAGTATGATTATAATTGTTATTAACTATTAAACTGTAATTTCCAACCATTGAGAAAAACGGATGTGTTCCGCTCTCATTGTGTCTTTTACCGTTCCCATGGTTACATAAACAACATACATAATGCTTGTATTTATAGTTGTTAAATTCTATAACTGCTATTACAATAGGCCTAAGCAAGGTTTTGTGCAAATCCTTAGGCCAGGAATTCTTTGAACCAAAGACGATCAACAATCGGGTGTCCAATATGACCTAGGCCCATAAGTCAGTGGTAAAATCAACTTACGTTCCCTTCAGTATGTTCGTCGATATCTGACTGCCCCATATTGATATCGGTAGCCGTTTTCTTGTATATTAATAGTTACACAAAATATATAATCCCCAAGTAATGGATAAAACAGATAAGTTCACAGACGTACGCACAGACGTAACAAACACATTGATAAGCTGAGTGGCCATATTAAGTCGAGTTTAGCGTCCCGTTGCTAAGCCGTCGTCATGCGTCTGTTTGCTTATCCCTTAACGTCTAACCTCACTGGGCTTAGGCTATTAGCTTAAATTCGCACCAGAGTACATATAGGTATGATGGATCTTTGTTATAATATGGAGGATTGGTAATTATCTATTTAAAACATATTCAAGCCTTTTATTGTAATGAAGTTATACCGTTTATACCATCACGTTTCAAATGATATATGCCTAACACAATCCGCCATGCATATACATCGGAAGACCAAGTTATAATAACCATTGAAAATCTGTGTTGTAATAGGCCTATTGATGATGTTGATTAAATGCTAATGTTGAATGATCCTGCTTATTTACAATAATAATAGTAATAATAATAATAATAATTATTATTATTATTATTATTATTATTATTATTATTATTATTATTGTTATTATTGTATTATTATTATTTAATGATGATGACCATGGTTATAATGATGACTATAATGATGACGATGATGATGATAATAACGAATGTATTAATTATAGGCCTGTTACATTTCATTATTCTTTATTCAATACTTTAAAAATTACAAAAATTGCAGGTCATGTTCTGCGCAAATTGTTCACAAAATAACAATGACAAATAGGCTTACAGATTATATAAAATATACCTATTTTCAACTATGATAAAATTATAATTGGAAATATAATCCATCGATAAAACACTAGGAATTTGGAATACGTTATGTAAATACAGGGCCCAAGAACTAGGACAGTGTTAGTGGAGTATAATGACTCATTTTGATAGAACATTATGAATCCTGTTTTTTTTTTCTGCATAGAACGAATTAATATGCTAACGATTTGAATATGTACCGTTACGACGTTGCATAACATTGGACTACGACTTCATTGATTCATACAAAACGCAATCACGTAGGAGTGTCCGCATAGTATGGAAGAAAATTTGAGGTTGTAAATGTGGATATAATTTATAATAATTATTATTATAATGATTCTAATAGAAGTCTACAAAGCTGATGTTATAAATTGCACTGATAGTCCTATAATCAGTCCTAGGC